AATAGAGGAATATACACAGTGGTATACGCTCTACTTCTTGGTTTGGAATCAGAGATTTTTCATTATTTACTAATATATTTGAAAATTTTTAATGTAAAGACTTTAACATTTAGCCATTTGATGGGTGTTTCTCTAATCAATACGATTGTAATTTGGGTTGTAGTAATTGCGTAAATGGGATCTGTATCAATTGTTTAGATGACTGGTATTTGGATACAAAAAATAACTGTATCCCCATATGTGGTGATCAGAAATTTATGTTAAATGAAGTTTGTGACGACGGTAATTCGATTCCATATGATGGTTGCCATGATTGCTAATTTTCTTGTCCCTTAAATTGTATCCTTTGTGTTTATGGAACTTGTAAGGAATGTGAAAAATCCTATTTTCTTGTAAAAAATAGATGTAAACATGGTTTTTAGTTTGATCAAAACCTTTTTGAACAATTAGAAACTGGTTTCTTCAGCGATTGGACTAATTATCTTGAAAAAAATGGCCTTTTATGTTATTAAAACCTTGTTGAAAAGTTAAGAACTGGGTTTTTCAACAATTGGACTAATTATCTTGAAACAAACGATTTTTAATGTGAAAACCTTATAAAGCAATTAGAAACTGGATTTAGCAACAACTGGACTAAAAGATTTGACAAAAATAATTTCTAAATTGAAAATCTTGTTGAACAATTAGAAACTGGTATTTTCAACAATTGGACTAATTATCTTGAAAAAAACGATTTTAAATGTTATCAAATCTTTGTAAAACAATTAGCGGCTGGTTTTTTTAACTATTGGACTAATTATCTTGAAAAAAATGATTTTTAATGTGAAAACCTTATAATACAAATAGAACCTTATTTTTACAACAATTGGACTAATTAACTTGAAAAAAAGACTTTCAATGTGATAACCTTGTAGAAAAATTAGAAACTGGTTTCTTCAGTGATTGGACTAATTATCTTGAAAAAAAATGGCTTTTAATGTTAACCTAACTCTCAATAATAATCAATACTCTAATTTTCTTAATAGTATAATCTACTTTAAAATAATTATCATGGATTAAACATAATTTAAAGTTTTTCGGTTTGTTATTTTCCAGATTCTTTAATTATTTAAGATTATTAATCAAATAGTTAAACTGAATGTAGAGAAGGTTATAAATTTTCGCCCAACACAAGATAATGTGTTGAAATGTGTAATTGTAAAGATTTAGTTAGTTTATAAAATAATGATTGTTATAATTGTATATAAAACTGCTCATCAGAATGTTTAGTATGTATTTTAGATAAATGCTATGCTTGTCTTGAGGGATGGCAGTTGATTGAACATAAATGCTAGCAGATTTGTGGAGATAATTAAGTAGCATTAACCTCAAATGAATAATGTGATGATGGTAATCATATTATTGAGGATGGGTGCAATGAATGTTTATTTTAATGTAGACCTTATTGCTAATTTTGCAATAAGGAATTAAATTGTCTCATATGTGAATCAAATTTCAAGCTGGTACATCATTTATGCGCACCAATATGTGGAGATAAAATAGTTATAAGTGGATTAGAGGAATGTGATGATGGAAATGATATTAAATATGATGGCTGTTTTGAATGTTAATTTTAATGTAATTTTGGCTGTAAAATTTGTGAATCTGGCAAATGTTAAGATGTGTGTAAAGTTGAAGAAGAATTTATAAATGGTAAATGTATTCCAATAGTTCTAATTGAAAGTGAAGAAATTGATCCAAATCAATCTGAATGCAAGAATCATTGCTTAGTTTGCGATGGGGCTAATTGCCTCCGATGTAAACCAGATTATATTTTGGAAAATAACAAGTGTTTCTCATGTGGAAATGGGATTATAACTAAAGATGAAGAATGTGATGATGGAAACAGGATCAATTCTGATGGATGTTCAAATTAATGTAAAATTGAAGAGGATTGGAATTGCATCGACTCCTTTTCATTTTTAAGTTAATGTTTCCCTATTGCTAAAATTTCGATTGTATTTTTGAATTCAACTTATAACACACAATATGTTAAACTATCATATACTAAAAAAGTTAAACTGAATTAATAAGACATTCACTTTTTAGATTTTAATGCTAATTCAATTAACATAGATCCTACTTATTATAATATTAGTATTACTCCTGTAATAGAAATAGTCTCAAATGTGACTCGAAATATCAATTATGAATTAAAAATTCAAATTAACTAACAACTCTCATAAAATCCAATTTTGGAAGTTAAGGTCGATCTTATTTTATTGGATGAAAACGATTTACTGGTGCCACCATCTTCAAAATAAATTGTATTATATGCCCCTATAATTTTAAATGAAGCATAAGTAGAAGCTTCCAAAAATTTCTAAACATTTGGTTACAATATTATGCTTGCATTAGGAGGTTTTGCTATTTTTGCATTCCTTCTTGGTTCTCCCTAATAATTTTTAGAAATCTTAGATATATTATAATTTTACTCATACTTGAAGTTTATAAATGTAGAATATCCAGAAAATCTTTATATTTATTTTTAATCTTCTGAATTGATATCAGTGGATCCAATTTTATAATTTTTGGGAATTAAAGATAATTTTGAAGATTAGTTAGGGATTAATATAATTGAAGGTTTTGGGAAGTTTGATCAGTACAAAACTAATGCTGATTTAATAACTAATATTTATAGTTAATTTATGTAGGTCATTGTATTCTTTTCATTATTGGTGATTCTGAAAATGTATCTAAAGTTTTGCTTAAAATTTTGTTTTACTTCATATTTCATGTATTTTATCAGAAAAAGGAAGTCAAAAGCAGTTGAGTGGCTTGCAATAAAACTATATTAATTTAATTACTACATAAAGAATTATTAAAATTTTGACACTGTAAATTTAATAATAGATTGTTATTATGCTAATGCTTGGGATTTAAATTTCAAGGTTTTATTGTATTTAACATTTAATAAATAATCAGGAATTAGAACTTTGGTCTCTTATTTAGTTTGTCTGATATATTTTATAATAGGAATATGTATTGTATTGAGAAATTTTGGGATACCCAATAATAACATAGAATTTAAAAAACTAAGAAATTAGCAGCATTAGTCAATTATTTTATTAAAAAAGTTTATCTTTGTGTTAATTTTAATTAGAATGCAAGAAAGCTATATAGCATAATGCATAATGCTCTCTTTTTCTACTTGTGCATATGTAGTGTTTTTATTAATTCTTAAAATTGCAAATACTGGCTTAGACTTGATGAATATCTTATGCGTAGAGGTTCCGGTAATATTATTTACATTAATTAATTTATCTTTTTGTAAAGATTTTAATAATCATTTTACTCCTGATTAAATAATTAGAATGGGTTTTTTATAAATAGGTTGTTTAATGTTGGGATTATTAGGTCCTTTATTTAATTGTGTTTATCAATTTTTATTGTAAACTTAAAATCGATCTATAAATTAATCAAACCAAAAAAATCTTAATTCAAAGGAGCAATTAGGAATATTGTGTTTGAAGTAACGCGTTGAAATTCGATATTTAATACATTATTTATATATAATAGATAAATATGATTTTATAAATATAATATTTTTATGTTTAAAGTTTACAAATTTATTATACAAATTAGGAATATTTAAACTATATTATTTTATATTTATAAAATTATTAATTTATATCTATAAAATTATTTAATTTAAAATTTAATCCAACGACTTAAACATAACTGAAATCTATATATATATACTTCAAAAGGAAAGCAATTATATTGTTATTAAGTTACCGATCTCTTTGTATTATTTAATTTTATGATATTATTACTTTAATTCTATTATTACAATTAAAAATAAATACCAGCTTTTTATAATAGAAATATATTGTAATTATTTTAACTCGAAATATTTGAGAACAGATGCAACGACAACAACAATAATAATAGCTACAACAAATTTACATACCTACTTTCGAGGAGAAACAACAAATCTTATAAAGATTGATCTTACTTTTAATAAATAAATAGAGAAAACCAAAAGACAGTTTTGATTAAAAAAATGATGAAGAAGAAACTAATTTTGATACTATATTGGATGGAATAGAAAATAATTCTCATATCTCTAAAATATCCTCAGACAATTGTTCAAGTTACATATAGATTAATATTTCAAATTATGAAGCTTAGATTTTAAAATGCCTTCTTGATAGCTTCTAAAAAGATATTTAGTCATAGATATCATGTTATGAAAAGAATGCTAAAGGATAATCAGACATCTAAAATCAATAAATTTCTTATGTTATTGAACCTCGGGAAAATTTTAAATCAGATGTCATTAAACCTAACTAATTTTAGAATTCAGATGAAGAAATCAATACTTAGAAAAAGAAAAAGAAAAAGAATCCTAAAGCAAAAATTGAAAAATTCTTAAATGAATAATAAATATTACTCAGTTTAAAGAATATGAGACACGAATATAATAAGCGTCTGGAATATCTTAAGGAGATTAAATAGGCTAATAAGAGCCTTGAAAATATTATGAGATTAAAAGATAAAACTCCTAAATATAGAATATATGAAAAAGAAAATAAAGATAATTTAATAATTTTGTTGGAATGCACAAAAATAATAAATGAAATTCAATAAACGTTCTAATAGTAGGATTATGAAATGGAAGGATTAGGTAAATGAATTTAAAAAATTTATGACTATAGATCATCAGAAAACATACATTATAAATAATTTAAATATAATTGCTTATTTTTTATTCATTATTTTTTGATTGAAAGAGATAACTAAAAGAAAGTAATTTTCAAAAAGTTGATTAATTTAAAAAACAAATGTCTATAGGAATTCCTATTTTTGGCCTTGGTATTTTTTTTAATCAAATCCTATTTTTGAGCTGAAGCTTTATAAAATTTAACCAATCATTTTCTTAAAATTAAATATAATTTTTGAGTTCATTCTTACATCTTGTGTTTATAGTTTTAAATGAATATTCTCAAATAATTAATTCATTAAGTATTTAAGATAATAATATATTATAAATTAGTGAAAATTTGCAGGAATTAGTGTGTGGAATTCTAGAAAAAAGTTAAGAGCCTTAAAATTAATACCCCAGAACAACATTAAATTAAAATAATAAATTGTAAGTTTAAAATTTACAAAATAGTTTATTAAATAAAATTTAAGTACTTAAAAGGATCGCAATATAATTTTTATATGAAGTGGTCATGAAGAATGCAATCATTTAATTATATAAGTTAAATATTACTATATAAATTTCAAATTAAGAATAATTACAAATTGTGAATCGAATGTTCAATAACTTAAAAAAGTTAATACTAATCAAACCTTCTCAGAGAAAACTTAAGATCTCTGTTCATATTCAATTATATAGGTTAATTGAAAAATTTAATCTATCCAACGCTTATATCTAAATATGATTCAACCTTTAGAAAAAATCGTCAGCTGCAGGATTCGAACCTGCGCGGGTAAACCCAGTGGATTTCAAGTCCACCGCCTTAACCACTCGGCCAAACTGACTTCTATGCTCCAGTTTATCTTCCACATCTAATATATGTATATTTCAGCTAAATTAAGAATCAACTACAATAACATCTTTATTATCTCTCTTAAATCAAAATGTGCACTCATAATTTAGAGTATAATATCACTAAACGATGTCTCCAATATCTTTTAGTTTTGAAAAATTAATTCTAATTCAATATAATTAATAAATATGATTTTATATAAATTGATAAGCATTTAACTAAATAAATTAAAATATTAGAAGTAAAAGATATCACCAATGAAAATGCATATATTTTTTCTGAATTTTTATCTCCTGTTAATAACAATTAGTAGGTCTCAACTTATTTATAGAAATTTTTATGGAAGTTTTACGTCAACAAACTTTGGTATGTTATTGTTATATTAAGATTGGAATATTTATTAACTGGATAACAATGGTTATTCTGTGGCAAGTTGCGGATTAAAAAATATGTTAATCATGAATGAATGCACTTAATCTTTTAATAGTTTAACGTCAAAAACTTTTGAGCTTCCATTACATGATTTAATCAACCTGTCATTTAAACTTTGGATGTAATTATAAAGTTATGAAGATAGGATAAATTCTGTTAGCTATTCTTTCTATTTGTATATTGATAATGAACTTTATCTTATAATCTAAAATTCTCTATACACTTTTACAAACGATTGTCCACCATATGGATCATATGAAATAAATGAAAATATTGCTCACTCTAGTACTTCAATTTAAATTACAATGGTTTCTGATTAGAAATCATGGGGCTTTTCTGAATTTACTTTAAATGTCGTAAGTAATACCTAAAATATTTGGGAATTAGTTTATTAATCTTTGGATTAACGATTTCTCTCAATGATAACTTTAAATGATGGATGGATGACTAATAACATAGTTTCTTAATAAATAGAGTAATGTACAGGTATAAATAACAAATAATAATAGATTTTTATTTTTTAAGATCGACAGGGAATAATTTTATCAAAGATTTCGTTTTGAAGGTTCATACTAAGATTAGTTTGAATTTGAGAGTTTTAATATTCAATTTAGCTTCACCAATAATTTATTTCAAAATTGATAACTAATTGGTAGCAACTTAAACTTCAAATTCTTATGTATAATCTGCACTTCCATTATGCAGCAAATTCATAGTCATGTAAGTAAGAATAACTGATTTTATACATAATAATGAAAATCTGAGAATAGAGGTGACAACTTCAGCGGATGGCTCCATTTCTTGGTTTGGAATCAGAGATTTTTCATTATTTATTGATTATATTAAAGAAGAATATTAATGTAAAGACTTTAACATTTAGCCATTTGATGGGTGTTTCTCTAATCAATACGATTGTAATTTTGGTTGTAGTAATTGCGTAAATGGGATCTGCATCAACTGTTTAGATGGTTGGTATTTGGACCCATAAGATATCTGTATCCCACTCTGTGGTGATAATATGTTAATGTTAAATGAGATTTGTGATGATGGTAATTCTATTCCATATGATGATTGCCATCACTGCTAGTTTTCTTGTCCATTAAATTGCATCCTTTGTGTTTTTGGTACTTGTAAAGAATGTGAAAAATCCTATTTTCTTATAGAAAATAAGTGTACACCTGTCTAATAGAATTGTGAAAACTTTGTTGATCAAATAGAAACAGGTTTTTTCAACAATTGGACTAATTATTTTGAAAAAAATGGCTTTTAATGTCAACCTAACTCTCAATAACTATCAATGCTATAATAATCTAAATAGTATAATTTACTTCAAAATAATTATTGTGGATTAGCCATAATTTCAAGCTTTTCGATTTGTTAATTTCCAGATTTTTTAAATATTTAACATTATTAATAAGATAGGGAAACTGGATGTGAAGAAGATTATAAATTTTCACCAAACAAAAGGTAATGTGTTTAAACTTGTAATTGTTAAGATTTAGTTAGCTAGTAAACTAATGATTGTTATATTTGTATATAAAACTGCTAATTAGAATGTTTAATATGTCTTTAGGATAAATGTTATGCTTGTTTTGAGGGATGGTAGCTGGTTGATAATAAGTGTTAGCAAATTTGTGGAGATAATTAAATAGCATTAACTTCGAATGAATAATGTGATGATGGTAATCAGATTATTGAAGATGGGTGTAATGAATGTTAATTTGAATGTGGATCATTTTGTTAATTATGTGATAAAGAATTAAATTGTATCATATGTGAATCAAATTCTTAAACTGTTAAACAATTTAAATGTAAGCCAATATGCGGTGATAAAATAGTTATAAATGGATTAGAGGAATGTGACGATGGAAATGACATTAGATATGATGGTTGTATTTGAATGCTAATCTTAATGTAATTAAGGCTGTTAAGTTTGTGAATATGGCAAATGTTAAGATAAATGTAAAGTTGAAGAAGAATATATAAATGGGTTAATGTATTCCTATTGTTCCAACTGAAAGTGAAGAAAATGAACCAGAACAATCTGAATGCAATAATGATTGCTTAGTTTGTGATGGGGATTAATTGTCTCGAATATAAACCATAAGAGATTTTCGAAAATAATCAGTTTTTCTTCTGTGGAGATGGTATTATAACCCAAGACGAAGAATGTGACGATGGAAACAGGATCAATTCTGATGGATGTTCAAATTAATGTAAAATTGAAGAAAATTGGAATTGTATCGACTCCTTATCATTTTTAAGTTAATGCTTTCCTATGGCTAAAATTTAGATTGAACTTTTAAATTCAACTTTTAACATACAATATGTTAAATTATCATATACGAATAAAGTTAAACTAAATTAATAGGACATAAACTTTTTAGATTTTAATCTTAATTCAATTAACATTAACCCGACTTATTATAACATAAGTATTTTTAGTGTAATCGAAATAGTCTCAAATGAGACTCGAAATATCGATTATGAATTAAAAATTAAAATAAATTAACAACTCTCATAAAACCCAATTTTGGAAGTTAAGGTCGATCTTATTTTATTGGATGAAAACGATTTACTAGTACCAGCATCTTCATAATAAATTGAATTAAATGCCCCTTTAGTTTTAAATCAAGCATAAGTAGATGCTTCTCACAATTTATAATAAATTGGTTACAGTCTTATCCTTACATTAGGAGGCTTTGCTATTTTTTCATTCCTTCTTGGTTCTCTAACATAATTTATTGAAATCGTAGATCTTTTATAATTTTACGCATACTTGAAATTTATAAATGTAGAATATCCAGAAAATCTTTATATTTATTTTTAATCTGTCTGAATTGATATCAATAGAACCAATTTTGTAATTTGTAGGAATTAAAGATAATTTTGAAGATTATTTAGGAATTAATATAATTTAATGTTTTGGGAAGTTTTATCAGTATTAAATTAATGCTGATTTAATAACTAATATATATAGCTAATTAATTTAGGTAATTTTATACTTTTTATCATTGGTACTTCTCAAAATTTATCTGAAGTTTTGCTTAAAATTTTGTTTCACTACATATTTCATATATTTTATAAGAAAGCAAAAGTCAAAAACGTTTGAGAGGCTTGCAATAAAACTATATTAATTTAATCAATACATATAGAATTATTAAAATTTTGACAACCTAGAGTTTATAATAAATTGTTATTATGCTAATGCTTGGGATTTAAGTTTCAAGGTTTTATTGTATTTAACCTTTAACCAATAATCAGGGATTAGAAATTTTTTCTCATAAATAGTTTGTTCAATATATTTTATATTAGGGATATTTATTGTTGTGAGAAATTTTAGGAGCTAAAATACTAAAATTGATATTAAAGAATTAAGAGATTAATAGCATCAATTAATTATTGTATTAAAAAAGTTTACTTTTGTGTTAATTTTAATTGCAATGTAAGATTGCTCAATAGCATAGTCTATAATGCTCTCATTTTCCACCTGTATGTATATAGGTTTTATAATGATTATTAAGTTTACAAATACTAAATTAGAGTTGATGAATATCTTATCAGTGGAGATCCCTGTAATATTATTTACATTAATTAATTTATCGTTTTGTAAGGATTTTAACAATCATTTTACTCATGATTAAATAATAAGAATCGGTTTTTTATAAATCGGTTGTTTAATATTGGGATTATTAGGTCCTTTAATTAATTGTGTTTATCATTTTTATAATAAATTTAAATTATTTTATAATATAATCAAACCAAAAAAATCAGAAAAGATAAGAGCAGTTAGGAATATTTTGTTTGAAGTAACAGATTGAAACTAGATTATTAACACATTTTGTATATTTTATAGATAAATAATATTTTAAAAATATAATATTTTGCTTTTAAGTATTAAATATATTTATATAGTAGTATTTTATAGATATAAAATTATGAATATCTAAGTTATTGAGTTAATAATTAGGATATTATCATAATATCCATAGACTGATTTAATTTTTAAATCAAAGATTAAATGAAGACTAAAATCTACAGATTTTGCTTTAAACCAAAGTAAAATCTGTATTATCTAAGATTTAAAAATAAAGAAATAACTTTACATTTAGACTTTTTTGGTAACAATTATAAGTTGTAAACTTAGATTCAATCATAAAATCAAGGAGATTTGCAATTAATAAGTTAAGAAAGCATTCAAATCGATCAAAAATGATGAAGAAGAAAACTCATTTTGATACTATATATAAAATTTAACTCATTTATAGTTTAATATTTAATATAATTAGAATACATTCTTAAATCCTATGTTTATTAGGTTTTAATTAATAATTCTCATTAATTTAATTCTATTAAAGTCTATATCCAGACCAACATTAATGATTGTAGGATGATAATTAAACTCATTATTGTATTTAATATAAATTAAAAACTTGAAGGATTGCAAGATCATTTTGAATTGAAAGGACCAAAAAGAAAGAAATCATTTAAATTTTCTAAGCTAAATAATATAAAACCTTTCCAATAAAAAAACTCTTAAAATTCTTTTAGAATGATAGACAACTTGAACTAGACAGTTCTAATTAAACCACCTGAGATCAATTAAGATAGTAGCCTTATATAACTATTTATCTTTTTTGAAAGAATGATTTTAACCATCGATTATATCCAAATATGATTCAACCTTAGAAAAAATCGTCAGCTGCAGGATTCGAACCTGCGCGGGTAAACCCAGTGGATTTCAAGTCCACCGCCTTAACCACTCGGCCAAACTGACTTCTATGCTCCAGTTTATCTTACAAATTTAATATAAACCAAGCGAATTAAAAATAAAATTGATATATTTACATAAGTATATTTTTAAATTACAAATAAATATTTAATAAATTTAAGTATCATATTAGTATAAGATGTCTTGAATATGCATTTAGCTTTGACAGTGATTTCTAATTAATTTATTTTAGAGTTAATAGAATTATAGAGGCTGATAATTATAAAATAAATCAATTTTTTTTTGAATTTTATAGAACTAAGAGATATCTACAATGAAAACACTATTTTTTGTGAAAGTTTATGTCCTCTTAATAACAATTAGTAGATCAGAACTAATTTATAGTAATTTTTATGGAGCTTTTACATAAACAAGCTTTGGTATGTTATTGTTATATTAAGATTGGAATATTTACTAAAGGGATGGTCATGGTTATTCTTAGGTAAGTTGTGGATTATCAAACGTAGTAGTCATGAGTGATTGCGCTAACTATTTTAATGGCTTAATTTCAAAAACTTTTGAGCTTCCATTACATGATTTAATCAACCTGTCATTTAAACTTTGGATGTAATTATAATTATGAAGATAGTACATCCTCTTATTAATATAAATTCTATTTATATGTTGATAACAACCTTTAACTACTTATCTTAACTTCCCAACTCAGTCTTACAAACAATTGTCCACCATTTGGATCATATTAAATATCACAAAATATTGTTCACTCAAGTTCTTCGGTTTAAATTACTATGGTCTCTAATGAGAATTATTGGGGATTTTCTGAATTTAATTTAAATGTGGAAAATACTACTCAAAATCTTTGGGAATTAGTTTATTAATCGTTTAATAAAAAAGTTTTCTCCTCCATATCTTTAGATGATGGATGGATGACTAACAACATAGTTTCTTAATAAATATAATAATGCACAGGTATTGATAATAAATCTATATAGATTTCAATTATTTAACATCATAAGGCGATAATCTTATCAAAGATTTTGCTTTGAAGCATCATAGTATGATTAGTTTTAACTTGAAAGTCTTGATATTCAATTATCCTACATCAACAGCAAAAATAAAAATTGATAACGAATTGGTAGCAACTTAATTTTTAAATTAATAAGTACTATCTTCAATTATA